ATTCTTGTATTATTAATTGTCATGGGATATAGTAAGGTTAGGAATGGAATTCCAAGTATGACTGCCTGACTTATATATATATATATATAGGGATTGAAATTCTGCAATTGATTGCAAAATTTCAATTGCTTCTCTGGTTTTAAAATTTATGCCTAAGATGTCGGAAAAACTATTTACAGATTTACTAAAAAAGACAAAAATACTCATACTACTTAAAATTGCTAGTGTACCTTCAGCAAAATGAAACAACACTAGCTTGGCAGAAAATTAGAGAATGATCAGACCTGGCGAAACAGAGCCCATCATAAGAAATGATGTGATATTTGCATCAACAATAAAAGCAACACGGACAGGGCCAGAAATCGTCCGCAATTTATCTGGTCCTTGACGTTCAACAACTGGAACGGCGTTTCCATCAGCAGACATGTCTGCAGAGCTCATACTGGCATGAGAGCCATCTTCTTCATCACTAAGTATGCTACTAATGTAGCCCGGTCCATTTGATTCTTGAAGAACTGAAGATGGGTCAAGTACTTTTACAGCCCAGCCCAGTCGACAAGCAAACGATGCAGCAGCCTGAAGCTGTGAAAGATCTGCCTGTAATGTTGCAGCCAGCTCAGCAACAGTGGCATTCTCACTCGAAACGACAAAAACAGCATAGAGTAACCTGGACAATGACCTCGATGTTTCAGGATTGAAGTCAAATAAGCTTATATCGAGCCAATCGTGACATTAGGACAAAGATTAATACTTTTTTTTTTCTCAGAAACATCCTATGGTGAAGGGGAGAACTTACTCCTCAATAGGATCCTCATATGACTGCTCCCTGTTGGAGATGAAACCTTCCAACTGAGAAACTGCAATAGATGTGATTATAATTTAAAAGTCATATTCCAGAGCCCAGAGTACAACGATCATGACAAGCTATGGCAAATGCAAACTCAGTGTATGCTGCTAGAGTAACAAAATTTGTAGTGTCTTTGCCATTTCTTATAACTCAGATTGAATGCAAATTACATGTTATATACATTGATGCATTTCTGTAATTGAACAACCTGCACAAAAGGAAACTTGTAATTTCACCATGCTCTCGAAGTTGGCAATGAAAGGCTAGTTTCAGAAAGAAACATCAAAGAAAAGTTTCCCATGATTGAAGAGCCACAAATAACATGTCACGTTATGGGTGAGTCAATTGTAACTTGGAAGTACAAGCTGCATAATTGTAGAGTACACAGTCATGTTAAAAAACCCTCGGTTTGATTCTATGCCTGTGCCATTTCTTGAGTAGTTTGCGCCCATTTGTTGAAGGTTTTAACTAACCTATAATTTCAAACTCACCACCAAGGTTCTCCTCATGGGTTCTGACTGCCAGGATGGATGAGTACATCTGAGGCACCACAATCAACCTATAATTTCAAACTTACACTACTGTATTCAACAATAGGTAGCCTTGTGGATGCCAACTCTCTCCACAAAGATCTAAGCATGGTCTTAGTATACTTCCCAGAACTTTTAAAGCAAGTGAACTTATTCATCTTCAATCAAATTGTCTCCTTGTGGATGTGCACTTCTCTCCATAAGGATGTACACAAGGTTGTCAGTGTAAATCAATATATGTCTCCTTGATTTATTAAACAAACCAAGCATCCAAAAGATGACACGACACAACCAGATAACAGTATTAGCACATCAACTGTTTTTTTTTTGAGAAAGGTTCACTATGATTTAGCACATCTAACTGTCATCAAGCACATAAGTTAGATCATACTTCAAGTGAGTAGGATTTTACAATTTCTACTACATAATAATCTTGACAGAGACAATTATAGAGTGGACAATCACCAGTAACAATAGCCACAATAAACATGGGGTTTCACAAGCATACTCTGTATTAAACTATAACATGAATCATAAAAATCGTGCACAAGCCTCTTCCCAGAAAATGCCACATATTACAATAATGAAATGCCTAAACAACCACAACACTCCCCTCCTCCCTGGCCATTCATAAACAGAAGAGAATACATCAAGTTGCACCAAGTCGAATAGAAGAGGGGCAGGTGGTTTTCTTTGTTTCGGTGGGTTGGGTGATGTTGGGAGTGGTTTGAGGACAAGGAGAAGAGGAACAACAGAGAGTGGATAGAGAAGAACAAGGAAAAAGCAAGCAAATAGGAACGGTCCTCAGCAAGCAAGGAGCTCATACCTACTCCTTCCCACCAATACGTTTGAGTTTCTATAAATGTGGGGAAAGAGTGCCCAGAGAGTACCACTCAAGTAAATGACTTTTTCCATTATGTCAGCCAGGTGCCAAAGGAAGTGGCTCTCTACTGGTGCCCATTGGATGACACTGGAACGTAAATTCAACAGGTGAAGGTGCTGAGAAAGAGACTGCACATGATCTTAACCTCGTCAAGACAACTAACACCTCAGTCATACAAGAGTCATCATATCAATGGAGTTGGCAAAAAATTCAAAAACCTTGATTACCCATGGAGCACTCATCAAAGTTAAAATTGATCAATCTAGGAAGGGGAGGGGCACAACAAACATGTTTTACACTTCTGATCCGACTAAGAAGGCATCACACAACACTCAACAATAATGTCTTTGACCCCATGGAAATCAAGGCAGGACAAGGCCCAAAAGGCAATCAATCTCTTACCCTCGCATTATAGCAGAGCGTATCCTTTTAGCAATATGATACTTTGTATTTTTAATTTCATATTGTGCATGGACAAAGTTGTAATACTTGTTGTTCCAATATCTATTGTTTTTGTAATGTATATTTCATTAACTCATGTATATGAAAGGTATGCAAGCAGAATATTATAAACATATATATATATATATATAGGGAAAAGTTTATATAGAGCCTAGACTCTAAACAATCAAATTAGAGCCTACCTCAAAAATTTCACTAGAAGAGGTCGTTTTGATGCCCAAATATCCTCAAATTGATCATAGCGACAGCAAGATATATGGACTTGAGAAAAACATGGATTTCAACTTTTGGAATAGTGCATCTTGTAACACATTTTTGGATTGTCAATTTTTAAGTTATTCATGTTTTCATAGATCTGCTGGATCTACACTATTTTTTAAGCTTTAAATTTTATAATTAAAGATGAAAAATATATTTTAAGGCTAGTCAAAGATTTCCAGTATTGAAACAACATTTCTCGACACTATTTGAAGGTCGGCTCTAATTTGATTGTTTAGAGCCTCGGCTTTATACAAACCGCATCCCTATATATATATATATATAAAGATTAGGAGCGCAACATCGTGTATTGGCCTCGCGTGCGCCAACGGTGTTGATCTTCTTTTTTCAATCGAATGTTCCCAATTCAAAAACCCTCTCTCCTTGAACATTTGAAACTATCCGTTTCCCGTACCTCACTCAATCGCCTGATAGAGGGCAGACCTTTTCCCTCCCTCTATGCACTCCCTCTCTCTCGCACGAAGCCACCCTCTATGCTCTCTCTCTCATCGCCCCTAGCCATTTCCGCCCCTCTCTCTCTCATTTTGAATCTAAAGCACGCCCTCGCGTAGGCCATTTGGAATCTGAAGCATGCTCCTCCCTCTCTCATCTAAAGCACGCCCCTCTCTCTCATCTGAAGCACGCCCCTCTCTCTCTCATCTAAAGCACTATCTTTGAGGCCATTTCAGGTATGGATTCTTCCCTCTTTTTTTTTTTTTAAGCTGCTTCATCCATTTTGAATCTGAATCATATTGCAGTAGGGTTTGCCATTTTTAATCTGAAGCATATTGCAGTAGGGTTTTCTTACTTTCCGAGTTCCTTGATTAATCTCACAATATTTTTAGATCTGTATTTTTGGGTTTTTTGGATGAGTGATGCTTGCTTATGGTTTGTAAAGATTGTATGAGCTCAAAACCATTTTACAAAATGAATCAAGCTTTGATTGGGGTTTTCTTTGCCACATTTAGGGGTTTTTAGTTTTTCAGTCATTGAATGTTTTACACAGAGCAAAAAAACTACGACCAAAGGAATTCTGTACAAATTAATATATTACAGATTTTTTTGCCACATTTGGGGGTTTTGGTTTTTCAATCATTGACTGTGTTACACAGAGCAACAAAACTACGATCATAGAAATTCTATACAAATTAATATATCACAGAATTTTTTGCCACATTTGGGGGTTTTGGTTTTTCAGTGATTGAATGTGTTACACAGAGCAACAAAACTATGATCAAAGAAACTTTGTAGAAATTAATATATGCCAGAATTTTTTTCCACATTTGGGGGTCTTGGTTTTCAGTGATTGAATGTGTTACACATAGCAACAAAACTATGATCATAGATCTGTATTTTTGGATGAGTGATGCTTGTTTATGGTCTGTAAAATTGTATGAGCTCAAAACGATTTTACAAAATGAATCAGGCTTTGTTTGGAGTTTTTTTTATGGTACGAGCTTTGACAAACCTGATTTGGGGGTCTGTCAAAATGAATCAGTCTGTCAAAAATCAGGTTTTTTTGGATGAATCAGTTTGTCAAAGATTGTAATGACTTAAAAGACCCCCAAACTCAGTCTGTCAAAGATTGTAATGACTTAAAAGACCCCCAAACTAAGCATGATTCATCCAAAAAAAGCCTGATTTTTGACAGACTGATTCATTCTGATAGACCCCCAAATCAGGTTTGTCAAAGCTCGTACCATAAAAAAACCCCAAACAAATCCTAATTCATTTTGTAAAATGGTTTTGAGCTCATACAATTTTACAAACCATAAGCAAGCATCACTCATCAAAAAACCCCAAAAATACAAATCTATAATCATAGTTTTGTTGCTTAGTGTAACACACTTAATCACTGAAAAACCAAGACCCCCAAATGTGGCAAAAAATTCTGGCATATATTAATTTCTACAGAGTTTCTCTAATCATAGTTTTGTTGCTCTATGTAACACATTCAATCACTGAAAACCAAAACCCCTAAATGTGGCAAAAAATTCTGTGATATATTAATGTGTACAGAATTTCTATTATCGTAGTTTTGTTGCTCTATGTAACACATTCAATGGTTGAAAAACCAAAACCCCCAAATGTGGCAAACAAATCTATAATATATTACTTTGTACAGAATTCTTATGGTTGTAGTTTTTTTGCTCTGTGTAAAACATTCAATTACTGAAAAACCAAAAACCCCCATATGTGGCAAAAAAAACCCAATCAAAGCCTGATTCATTTTGTAAAATGGTTTTGAGCTCATACAATTTTACAGACCATAAGCAAGCATCACTCATCCAAAAAACCCAAAAACACAGATCTAAAAATATTGTGCAATTAATCAAGGAACTCGAAAAGTAAGAAAACCCTACTGCAATATGCTTGAGATTAAAAATGGCAAACCCTACTGCAGTATGATTTAGATTCAAAACGGATGAAGCAGCTTAAAAAGAAAAAAAAGGATGAATCCATACCTAAAATGGCCTCAAAGATAGTGCTTCAGATGAGAGAGAGAGGGGAGTGCTTTAGATGAGAGAGAAGAGCGTGCTTCAGATTCAAAATGGCCTACGCGAGGGCGTGCTTCAGATTCAAAATGAGAGAGAGAGCGGCAGAAATGGCTAGGGGCGATGAGAGAGATAGCACAGAGGGTAGAGGGTTGCTTCCTGCGAGAGAGAGGGAGTGCATAGAGAGAGAGAGGGAGGGAGAATGTCTGCCCTTTGTCAGGCGATTCAGTGAGGTACGGGAAATGGACAGTTTCAGACGTTCAAGGAGAGAGAGGGTTTTTGAATTGGGAATGTCCGATTGAAAAAAGAAGATCAACACCGTTGGCGCACGCGAGCCCAATACCCGACGGCGCGCACCTAATCTTTTCCCATATATATATATACACACACACACACACACACAT